ATTTTTTATTTAAAGACATGCTAAATTGTTACCTTGTTCACATAGGTATATTTCCTACTAACTAAAACTACTGAAAATGTTTTGTACAGAGTCTACACCATTATCAACTAGGTACTTAGAGTTTGAAATGGTTATACAAATGGGTTGTATGAACTTTTAATGCTGTGGCTACAACTGACCACCTGCTGAGTATTGCCTATACTCTAAAGTCTATACTATGTCGCTGTTCATCAATATTTAATATAATAGCACTAGTCGATTTTAAGTGTTTACTGCAGTACGGCACTGCCAGTACCTACCTACCTTTAACTATTGCCATGATTAGCAAAACATTATTAATTATTGTTATTATACAAGCATTGAAGCGTCTAAGATCTAACTATAAAACCCTAGTCGAGACTGAATAATTTTTTATTGACATACGTAGACCTATATAATATATGTACCTGTATAGTGTATATACTATTATATACTATAATTTTATTTGTAACAAAAGTAAAACGTACACACATTTATTTAAAGCACACAGACGTTAGGAAGGTATTACACAAGTTTGTTTCGTCTTATTAAACATTAATATTAGTCGTGATGATTTTTATAGCAAGTTTAATATTTATTCCTCCCATGCTAAATATATTAGATACTAAATAATAGTTAAGTATTATTGCATAATTGATAATAATAGTACGCAGTTATTTCGCTCAACACTATGAGATTGATTCACTGATGCAGAATTGTTCTAACGATTAAAATAATCTAATAACAGTATCTAATTTGTGTAATGTTAAAATATAAGAGTATAATATTTAATATTTATTTATGTATTTATTTCAGAATTAATATATGATTAGCCCAAGCATTAGTACAAGTTCGTATAATAATTGATGTATTAAATTTACATTACATAATTTATATCATAGATATTACTAAAGTAAATAGTACAAGTTGATTACTTTTTTAAATTTCGAATACATACTTATTGAAGTGTGTTTAATTTAAATGATTGTGAATAGTATCATGTACCTACCGTCTACTGGTATGGACGTCAGTAAAGTGGGTTCTTAGGATTACCCCAGTTCCAGATCTTCTTAAGATATTTTAATTTATTAATTTAGGTATTAGTTATTTTTATGTTATAAAAATAATGTAAATGTTTTGATTCTGGTTTTGATTTGTTAGACTTGTAAAATATATATTCGTAGTTATACTCTCTGTGTCTCGGACTCCATTGAATTCTACACTAAACATGGGGCCAGATTAAGACATTTACTATCCGGGGAATATATTTTACATATCCATAGAGCATTAGAGCATATGAAAGGTGGTTTCAACATAAAATTATTTTACATATATTCATACATTTTATTTCACTTGAAATATTTGGAAACAAAATAGCGAACTCTATATTTTGGTTTGGCGTGGTTTGATTAATCTAGTGTTTTGGGAGAATAGAATTCACTATAAAACTCAATCTAAGACTATCTATATTCTATACAATTACAAGTGACGACTATAACAGACTATAACCATAATTTAGTTTATTTAATTCATTGTTTTTTATGTGAATTATTTATTTAACTTTTATACTGTTGTCTGGTAGTGACTATTATGCCCATAATTTTTAATATCAAAAGCTTTCAAATTCAGGCACTGCTGAAGATGGTACACAGAAAAAATTAACAACAAAAAATTCACTCAACAAGATCCACTAAGGTTTCATATTGTTGTATCATGCACGATATATAAAAAATATTATTAACTAGGACACTAGGTTAAGTAAACATTCATAATATGTAACAGGTAAAATACCAAAACAAAACAAATCAAATCATACAATACTCAATAAGCTATAAGTAACAACATTGAAACGATTATGCATTACATCAAATTAGGATGAGATAATAATTATTATGTAATACAATAACAATTAGTATAATTTTAAGCATAGTCAGTAAGTATAATGTAACTAGGTTAAACTTAATATCGATACTACCAATAGTGCTTCGATTGTAATATTGATATATAAGTAATAAGGGAAGACAGAAAGAGGGTCAGTGAGTGGTGATCGTGTGACTCGATTGCCACTGGACGTCAAAGTTTAATAAAAGTGCTTATTATAAATATAAAGTTCGTTTATTTGTGTACGTCTGTGAACGACAATATACATAATATTTTCACGTTTTAAACAGGTAACCAGTTAGTTTTAGTATAGCTTTGATACGCATCAGTATATATTATACAATACAACTGTTTATAGTATAATATTATATTATTAGTGATTGTTTTGAATTGTATTATACTATATACAATTGTTGTATGTTGGTATGTCAAGGGGCCTAAGGGGGTGTAGTGGGGGCAGAGAATCTCATATTCCTCTTGAAATCTTTTGTAAGTAGGGCTGTCAGCTTTTCGTCCCGAACTAATCAGTTTCCTAAAATAAGTTCCGTGACTTGAAACATTTTCAGTTTAATGAAAACCAATACATTTTATTTCATATTTCTGATGTTTAAAATACATATAAATTATCATATAAACGTTGTTTCCACAATGACCTTCTAACAATTAATTAATGTTCATCGGAAATCGGTTATTTTGTGTTGTTTATACACTTTTAAAAGTATAACTTTGATATGACGTCATGACTGGTATAACACCGTGAGTCGTGACACAAAACTGTTAATAATCGGTAATAATTGTTTTCGATCGTACCGTGGCCTATGTACCAACGCCTTGTAAGGAGCGTAGTTAATTTATCAATGATGTCCTCACTTAACAACATTAGTTTAAAAAAAAAAAATAAAATATTAGGTATGCCTATATTATTATACTTATTATCCTATTCTATATGTACCATTTTATATATCGATGTAAATTTTTGTAAATAATTGTATGTATTATCAACTTTAAAGCCGCTAAAAATAAAAAAAAACTGCAATCAAAAAGTCAAAGGACTTTGCCAGGAATACTTAATAAATAAAAAAAGATAAATATTAGCTAACTTTTTTTACGTGATTGTAGATATCGAGTAGATATCTGCAGTCGGTATAGGGTAAGCGAATGTTAAATAATAACGATTTTTAAAATAGGTATAAGACTTAATTTTATAGTTGAAACTTGAAAGTGCAGCTTTATTCCCTAAAATTAGATGTCCTATTTTTAGTTTCAATTTAATGGCAGCCCTGTGCGGAGTTTGGGCCCAATCATTATGCATTTGAGGACTTTTTGTTCGTCCATACTTACTACGAGGATTTTCGTAGACATTGTAAACACATTAATATAACACCAAAAATGGTCCACACCACTGAATAGCAATGAATTGGTAAAATATATTTGTTGAAAGTATTTATATAATTTTACCATGTAGAAATAATATGTTAAATAGAAATAAAACTGAGTATTAATTTAATAATTACATTTTTATCGATAAATATTATATTCAATATTTTTTCTATAATACGGCGACAAATGACATTATATCTATGCGTATGTATGGTCTATACATAGTCACAGAAGACAGTTATAGTTTTCCGTAGGAATGTTATTGCGAATCGATGTGAATAATCAGTAATCAATATAATTTAGTCTTCTGATTGCAATAATCATTACATTGGAATCATTTTTTAACCGTAATACTTACCTACTTCAATTGTATTCGCATCATTGTGAATAAATTCATAAATGGTTTGTGTTATACCTATAAGCGACTTACTCTCAAAGTATTCAAGGTATTCTCTAAGAAATCCGGTACAATTTTAAAACACCGAGGCTTCTGATACTTCTATACTTCTATAGATGTGTAGATCTCAAAATAGTTTTTTCTAATAATGTATATTAAGTAGTATATTACATTACTATGAAGCTATTCAAACAAGATTAGCGCTTGTATACGCACATATCTTGTAGTAATAATAGTTAACGACAGGATAAAAAAAAAAAAGTAATGATTCCAGATATTTGGTATTTATACTGTATTTTTATCAATATATAATACAGGTAATAAATTATTTTATAAAAAATGTACATGATATAACACTATATAATTGATTTTACATATAATTTGCCTAACAATAAAATAATATCACAAGTTTGTTTTATTTACAATTTAGGCAATATTATTATAGAATAAATAAATTGATAAATACTTATAACTATACAGGTATAAAATAACATAAATCGTTATTTGATTTCAATCACATATCGCTATGATGCTATCATGCACGATGACGTGTATAATAGCCGTATTAAAGGTATAGGTAACACAATATAATATAATATAATATTATATATTTATATTACTAGTTTTCATTAAGTCCATCAACGCCACATGAAATATAAAAATATATAGATAATATAGGAGAAATTACACTCGATCTCTATATAATATGTCTTCTTACGATATTTTGATGTCGATAAACAAAAAATAAATAATAAAAATAGGTGTCTCAATATTATCTTTGTGAGTGTATGTGTGTGTCTGTGTGTGTGTGTGTGATTATTGTGTGTGATCACTGATCAGCTAACCGATAAATATGTGTTCTTTAAAATGACCATTTTCTTATTTCGAACCGTGTCACTACGTTGGGTAGTGTGTGTAACTGGTTACCCGGGGTGAATTAGATACCACTGATACCAGCTAATTAGCTAAAGTACACAAAAAATCGAATCGACTTTGGCGTGTGTTATACCTACGCTCATCGGCGGACGGATTTCATTTCCGGTAACGACATGCGCGAACACGACACTCGAAAAGAAACCAAAAAAACTAAATAGGCTAGGTGAGCCGTAGGTAGTACCTATAGGTAACCACACTATAGGTACCTATAGGTAATTCGCGCATCGTCGTAAGTTACCTGTCCAGCTGTGCCCTTCAGTCCAAATAGTCGACGTGAACGACTACCGCGTGGTATAGGTAAAATTATTTTGACGGAAGGTAGGTATAGTTTTTTTTACGACACGCCGCTGCAGTTGTAGCAGGTAATGCCTAACGTGTATAGCGGTGGTCATTTGTGACGTACGTCCACTAACGAACTGATGGTGTACACCGCGGAAGAATCGTTGGGCTTGAACTTTTTTTCCAGGTAGTCGGCGGTGCCCTTGGTCGCTTCGCGGTCGCCGCTGCTGCTGAACAGTTTCTCGATCTGGACCAGCGTCTTGCCCCGGGTTTCCGGCAGGAACGCGGCCACGAAGCACACGGCGACCGTGGCGGCGGCCGAGAACAGCCACATGATCTGATCGTTGGCCAGCGCCGTCATCAGGCCCGGTGACATTTTCACCGTGACGAATATGAAGAAGTAGCCCAGCGACGGTACCAGGCCGCCCATGATGCCGCGGACTTTGAGCGGGAACAGCTCGCCGATCATCATCCACGGCAGCGGCACCATGCCCAGCATGCTGACGCTGACGTTGAACAGGATGCACGCCAGCGGCACCCAGCCGTACGGCCTGTCGTCGACCGACAGCGGGCCGTACGCCGACTCGTAGGCGCCGCACGCGGCCATCGACACGGCCATCAGTACGGCCGACGCCATGGCCATCGTCCGGCGGTTCACGTGCTGTATGCACACGGACCCGGTGACGCTCATGACCAGCCGGAGCACGGCGACCGCAATGGACGCCACGTTGCTGTCCACCGTCGAGCCGGCCACTTGGAAAAAGTTGACCGCATAGTACAGTATGATGTATATGCCGCTGGCCTCCTGCAGCACGAAGAAGCACACCAGTATTAGGAACGGTTTCCAGACGGCGGGCGCCGTGAAGTCTCGGACCGTGGGCGCGGTGGTCCCGTTGCCGTCGCCCAGGTTGGTCAGGATCTCGGCCAGTTCCTTGTCGGCCAGCGACGGTTTCCGGCGCAGCCACATCAGCGACTTGCCGGCGTCCGCCACGCGGCCCTTGGACGCGAGCCACGACGGCGACTCCGGCGTCAGGTTCACCGACAGGAAGCTCAGGAACGACGTCAGGGCGCACAGGAAGCTGACCACCTGCCACGGCATGATCGAACCCAGCGAGTAGACGATGAGAACGCCGATCGACACGAAAATCGGCCCGAACGACGATAGAACCCCTCGGTGTTGAGCCAAGCTCACTTCGGCCACGTAAACGTAACAAGCTGACGACATACCTAGGTATATAAAATTGATTTTTAAAAAAAAAATGAAAAACAACTTAATCAACTTATTACAATAAATATAATACAGGTATGTTAATAACCCACATTTGTACCTACGCATTAGGCCATAATAATGTGATAAGTGATACATATGATACATATGAAGTAAGAACCATTATCCATGTTAATTTTGTTTTTAATTTTTATAATATTTCAATGTTTAAGCAAGTTATGAGTATAAAAGTACCTATGTATGTAAAATATTTTAATTTAAAAATGCTCATAAAATCGCTAAAATTAGAATACCGTAAAGATCCGACGTACGAACACAGATAATATTCTTATATTACCTTTCCGTTTAATAATATTTCGATCCACTTAAGTATAAACTATAATGCTAACAACACAATATTGGTTCTGCCGAACACAGATGTTCTGAATTTCTGATGTACCTATACGTTTTCAAGACAGAGGCAATTGCACGTCACGTGGGTGTGACGTACTGACGTCCTCTTAAAACTTTCAAAATTGTTATATGAGTATATACAATCCTCTTAAGCAACAGTATCAACAACTATTTTCTATCGTTTGATGTGTACAAAAGTTATGATAATTTTGCTTACCGATAGCCACTCCTGATATGAATCGACCCAGACATAAAGACGTTATGTCTGTAGACAATCCAATTATTATCCAACCAATTAAGAATGGTAAAGACGTCAATTGAACTGTTGTTTTTCTTCCTAAGGTCTGCATGAAAACTCCTGACATCAACGCTCCTAGAGGATTTGATATAACCCCCAAACTGGCTGTAAAAAAATAAGATAAAATATTAAAAAAAAAAAATACTTGACATCGGTATATTTTAAAACACATCTGCAGTATGATTTGAACATTTCTTTGGCTGTACAGTTGACAGGTAAAACACTATCGTTATAAGTTTTACAACATGTTCACATATATAGGTAATACATTGTTACATAACCAATTTAATTTATCTATATTGTCTATTTTATTATTTCTTTAGATGAAACGTATTATTCAGTCATTTTATTCATATTTTTTAGTACCTATAAGTAATGTGAAGAGAACTCGGAAACTCAAAAATCTTAAAATATGCAGTGTCGGTATAATTATGTGGCGGTATATGATTTATTACAATATTGTAATTTGCAGTAATTATAATTTTAATTTATAACTCAATTTTTCAGACAAAGGGCTAGCTGGTGTGTGTTCGTAATTTCTACTGTCAAACAGTTTTTAGACGCACATGTTTGAGGCGCATTACATAAAGTTCTGCATTCGGGTTGAAAGATCGCATTCAATTAACCATAAGTACGGCGACGGGCCAACCACTCGGGCATATCAATCATGTGTCATTATTAAGCCAATAATTGCGCGCGCTAATGCGGACAGGAACTTTCATATTTTTTTTTTTTCTTTGCCGTTTTGCAAATTATATTTATTGCGCGCGATTGTTATCGAACGTTTATACCGGACAACCTTGACCGCAACCTGGAGACACCTCGAACCCGGGATAGATAATGACATTGCTCTTAATGATTGAGATTATGGTCTACGGGCTCTGCGGCTAGAGCGAAAGTAAATCACATGTGGAACGCATAATATTATGTGCGATTGGTACATTTTATAATCTGTTTCAGAATAATAGATAGCATATATACTACCAAATCGTTTCCTTATTGGCATAGGTGTATATACTGTGTAGGTAATGTATAATAGTATACTGCCGTCAAAATCGACGAAATGACGAATAGAAGTTTGGAAAAACGAAAAATGTAATATAGGTAAAGGTAATAATATATTATTATGATAAACTGAGTGTATTTTTATGCAGTGGTGTTTTGGAGGGTATACGCGGGTATACGACGTATACCCTATCACCAGTTTACTGATTTAGCGTATACCCTGTAAAATTACTAGAGATACCCAAATATACGCGCGTATACCCACGTATACCTTCAAAAAACTTAAGTAAAATAAAGTAGTAATTGCTTCCAAAAAAATATTTTTATCTTTATTATTGAAAATTATCAAATTTTTTTTAATTATAATCGACTAATAACCATCATATCAATATCAAATTCATATATTTACAATTATAATCACGGCTATGGATACAATTATTTAAAACTAACAACGTTATGGACACAGTCCACAGATATTTTTATAATATTATCTGTATAGTTATGGTTGACTTGAGGGACTGCCGATTATAAGAATGATATTGTATTTATTGGATTGACAGCGGCTTCAAAAACAAAACAGTTATTCACAGATGCCTTATCACAATCAGTTAGATTTGGTAGAAAACAGCGACATTGATAAGAATTTACAGATAGACAGATGACTATAGAAGTCAGTCAGTCAATAATTTTATATTTATGAAATTATGTAATATATTACTATTCAGAATATATTCTTAGTAAAAAAGATTTTATTTAATTACCAATTGTCTTATAATAACAAAAAACATCAAATTCACTGCTTAGAGAATGTTCAAAATCGTTTCATACGTTTTTAAGCATACAAATGTAATGTTATACGAGAGTCACATTCTCCTTACCAGCCATTATTAAATTTGTTTGAACTTGATACTGTATCGGATAGAAGAAAAAAAATAGATTTGAAAATTTTATTTAAACTAGTAAATGGTTACACTGAATGTCCAGAACTATTAAGTTTCCTCAATTTTAAAGTTCCTCAACGTAGAACTAGGTCTAATAATACTTTTTATATAGGTTCTCAAAGTACAAATTATTTATTATCTTCACCTATAAACAGAATTATGTCATTAGCGAACGATACCAACATTGATTTATTTAATTTTACTTCCTTGGAATCTTTTAATAATTATGTTAATAGATCTTTATGTTTTTAATGGATTTTGTATTATAATTATTATTATTATTATTGTATTATTGTGGTTATTATTATTATTATTATTATTGTTACTGTATACGATATTATTGATAATGTTTACAAAATATAAATTCTGTATTTCTGTAGCAGAGGTTTATTTATACAGCTTATTAATTATATAATTTAAAACTATTACTAAATGCCTAAATAACAATGTGTTATGTTTAAAATTTTAAAATTAAAACAATTATAGTATAAACATTAAACATGTACGATGTACCTATGTTTTTTCATTTTATTTTAAGTCACATTAAAAAGGAACGAGGAAAGGAACTAACTCCTATCTTCAAGGCAGGAATGGTAAAGAATTTAGTTTCTTTTTTAAAGGAAGTTTCTAAGCACTGTAACTCCATCTCATTCTGATGCAATATGTCTAAAATCCGTTTTCTGGGGGGGGGGGGCTAGATAAATAAATCGACATATTATAAAGGCGCGGTGGTATACCGCACGACAAACCATAAGTTAATTTTATGTTTGTTTAGAAAATTTTTTTTTTGAGCTTATGTGCTAAGCGTATACCCTAGAAAAAAATTACCAATACATCACTGTTTTTATGTAATGGTGTTGTATATCTAAATGCACTCATCGAGTACAAATAGGAAAAAAAAAAAACGACAAACCGATTTCTGAAAACAATTATATTATATTGTTTTGTTTAGCGTACCTACCCATATAAACATTGATCGACCGGTATTTTCAATTTAATAAATTATGGCGTTCAGCAAATCATTATTGGACATTTATGTAACCGGTTGTTTTTTTTTGTATTTCTGTTCAAGACGTCTTTCATTAACACTTCGATTTACAGCTGTATTGATGAAGCCTATTGTGGTCGTTTTTATCCAAGTACGTTCGGCGCAATAATGTGTACCAATATAGGTAGTGTGTGACACGAAACTCATTACGCTCGCGGTTTATTATGTTGATTAACGCGAGCTATATACAGGGTGTCCTCCGCCAGTAAATTGTAGGCATTATATTAATTAGAACTACTGATATTTTGAACCACTGACGGATTCTTAATGTTAACCGGCCCCGGAGAATTTTGTTAAATACAAGAAATGTTGTGGAAATGTAGTGAAAGTAAAAAATTTTAGTTGGGTTAATTAATATATGATTTAATATTCCCAATCTTATATAATTACATACATAAACCATACAAGTATATTATACATCAATAAATTATGTCATATTCAAGTTTAGATATTATATGTTATTCGACGTTATAAATATTTGTGATAGACAGTGGCAGCACGCATTACACAAATAATTACAAAATTTAATAAGGTAAAACATACTTGGAAGTCCAAAACTTAATATGACAGTGTTTTATTTAAGAAATCACAACTATTTTTTATTATGTCAATAATTTCTTCTGAGTCTATACCATGTAGGTATTTTGGTAATATCCAGTTCTAGAGGTGTCTTTTTAAACAAATAAAGTAATTTCTTTATCATCTATAGGTATGTCTTTACTCGACTTATTCTATGTCTCTACTACACTGTGAGTTATTTTCCGGTTAAGACGTAGGCCACGCCCACTACACATATCTCACGGCACTGATAGGTACCTATATAAAACAATTATTTACAGTGGCGTGTAACATAGGGTCCAAGTGTTCCTCAAGCAACACCTTAAAATATGGGTGGGTGGGTATTGATAGAAGAAAAATAGGAAATTTTATAGGTATGTATAAATGTATTATGAGGGGTAGGTCACCTAAAATTATTTGAGCAACACCATTTTTTTTTTATGATACACCCCACTGAATTTATTTGTTTTATACACAGGTGATGAGTTTTATTTATCTATGGACAAGACACATTTAATGGGTGAATGTAAGTTCCCACACGAGATATAGCAGGTAAAAATGACACCCTGGTATGCATACGTAAGTTACCACCCGATAAAAATTACACCGAATACAAACTTCCTTCCCACTTTATTCAGACTTAGGACTGACAACTTAAATGTAGTTGATGTGGTTAAAATTTGTTTGTTTTTGTGTTGCATTAAAAAAGTACGATCATTTTTTTAATTTAATCTAGTCCAAATATATGATAACAATTAATAACATAATGTGTAGCCGTGTAGGTATGGTCCACATATTATTTGTATAGGTATAAAATAATAATAGTTATAATAATTATAATAATAGTAATAGAAAAAATTAAATTTTATTTGGCTTATTGCGAAAGCTCAAACACTTCACATAATCATACTGTGTAATTATTTTTAAGTTATAATCTGAAAATATGTTATTGATATAGTTTCCCCCCTAGTATTTGGGCTACATAGTACTAGTTCTGATACAAGTCTTAATACAAACACTTGTGAAAGTACAAATAATATGTGGACGTGGACCTACGCATTATATTATTAATTTTTATTATATATTTGGACCAACTAGGTACGTTTAAGTTGTCAGTCCTAAGTCTGAATAAATTTTCGTGTGGGAACTTACTTAACCCCCATTTAATCGCCTTATCATAATTCGTCGGGCAACCTATTACCTTAAATCGTGATCGTCTTTCTCCCCATTATCAAGGACAAGTGCACAATAGTACAATACGCTACAGGTAACCATACCGCCATCTCCCCTAGCTGCTGTATATTATACTATATAGTATATAATTTTTATATACCTTATACATTTAAGTTAATCTTAATATTGTCATGTATTGTCTGTCATTGTAATTATTGTCGTGTATTTACATTTAAAATCATAGTATATTCAAAGGGCTTCGGCCCTTAAAATAAATGAACTAATAAATAATACGTCCGAGTAGGTACTGTGTAATTGTGTAAGTGCTAGGTGCAGCTATAGTGCAGCTATTATATACTCGTTGTTTTCGCCTCACCTATCCACGACGCTTCCACGTTGTTCACCAAAATGGAACTATTGGAGTCGAGGAGTTGAGGAAGGAGTACCGCCGAGAACCCCTGACACATGCCCACGGAAATCGAATTGACATGGGCAGCCACGGCGGACATGATCTGCAAATCGAAAGCGCATATTATAACATAATAAATTATATATTATATACCTATATGAATAGGTATATTTATATATATATATACATCAGGTGCAACATGTAGCACAATTTTTTTCTATCGCTGCACTAATCTAGTTATAATGGATGAGACGACTTAATTTCAATTAAATTGCTCGCCACTCATATAGGTGTACGAACACACGGCGTATGAACTCTGTCCGCATGGGGTTCATTGAAGGACGCTTTGACACAATGTTAGATTGAAAAAAATAAAAAGAACCTATAAGTATTTCCTTTTCGGACGCCTTGAACCTTGGCAATTTATGAGTCAATCGCCACCAAGACATTTTTGACATAGGTAGGTACATTACAAGCTACAACAACAACACCGTGATTGATTGAGTCATAGGCCACACTTGTATATACCTGCTGTATCAATGTTTGGCGTTTAACAGCTCAGCGAGCTTATTATAATAAAATTATCATAAATACTTAGCGTCGATGATGTGTATTATAGCTTTCGATCGGCATATAGGTATACGCCCGTGTTCTGTCAATCAGATAATGTGATTACACCCTGTAAAGTGATATGGCAGCCACGTTTCCGACTGGCATTGCTGCTCTTACTGGAAAAGTGCAGGAACGGTACGTCAAAAGTCGCGTTTTTGAAAACGGTGTTGTTTGCACCAGTTTTTCATACCAGAGAGTGATAATGGTATCCAAAATAATATATTATTCGAATTACCTAGCGTCAATAATATCTCATCGTCTTGTAAGATTTAATTGTTGTTAATTAATTCATAACCGTACGTATATAACTAACATAGTATTACAAAACTAAACGCACTGCACCATAATGATAAACGAATCTGTCGAAATGCGTAGCTTATGAATTAGGTATGATAGGTACACTCCTCTGCTTAGCACGGTTTTGTAATGTATATCGCAGTGAAATAATAACATCCGTTCCGACGAAAAACATGTCTGCTGCAGCAAACGTGTAGAAGAAAAAAACGGCAGAATGTGTACATTTTGTTGCGAGCAATGTTATTTATGAGAGTATTGGAGGTTGAAAAGTGAGGACAAAAAATGGGTCACGGACTTGTCAACGTAGAACTCATCGTTTTCGTGATCGTGTGTACCGACTTGCAGTGCGATGCAGTCCTACGTGAAATTCGGATTATTATATAACATAATTTTAACTCGTGCTTATAGAAAAATTACGACGAAGGTTCTTATATATTAACGTCGCTGCTTGGGCTCTGGTCGCTATACCCATTGGTCGGTGTATATATAGTTAACGCTCTCGTAGTCGAGAGATTTCCCCAAAGCTGGGCAAGTTAGTCATTTTTTTCAACTAGTTGAAGTTAAGTTACTTTAATAAAAAAACTAACAAAGTTAGAACATAAGTTAGTTTCTGAAACTGTCCAAATTTCTAACTTAGTTAGTTAGAAGTTAGTTTGGTGAAAATAGTAACTTAAGTTAGAGTAGAAATTAGAAGTTAGTTTTTTTTTTAGATTACAAAACCTTTTTGTTTAAATGTAAATAATAAGTTATCCAACTTAAATTATTGATTAAAACTGAAAAATTGAATTAACCCCTAGTAATTTGATCAAAATGTTCTAATTAGGTAAGTAATAATTTAAATTAATTGGTATATCACTTATCAGTTATTAGAACATAAAGGGTGAAACAAAGTAAAAAAAATAAATAACAGTATGACAACTTAAAATATTAATTAAAATTAAAATATTCATTTTGGAATGAAAAAAAAATAATAATAATAACTAGTTAGTTTTTTTTCTAACGAGTTAGATTAGACTATTTTACACATTAAATTCAACTAGTTAAGTTACAAAATTAATATGAATTAAAACTAACTAGTTAAGTTAGTGCCCAGCTTTGGATTTCCCGCATGTCTTAGTAGTAACTTATGAAATTCAGAACATAATTCCACGTCCAAGATATCCACACATCATATCCGGTAAAACATTTCTCGGAATAATCAGTTTATTTTGTATATGCGTTGCACAAGGACGCGACATCATAATAGTATTAAGTATACGCTCGCCTAACCTCCATGTACGAGCGCACTTGTATCAAAATTTCGGGTTCTCTTTACCCCCTGCTATGACCATATAACAATTTAATCACACGACGTATATTTGTGTTGACGAGTATTAGTACGTAGTATAAAATTGAAAATATTGAAAATAAACCAATCATGCGCGTTATGACGATGGCGATATTGCACAGTATAGTAATTGTATATAACCTTTGTTTTTTTTTAATCACGTTTCTTCGACATTTGTCGTACTTATCGATGAATTTTTTAAAAGCATCGGGCGAATAATATTCTCATATATGTACAGTGCAAAGTCCATAACAAACGAGAGAGTCGAGAAAATAATTTGATCAATGCCTAAAAAACATATATTATAATATAGGTGCGTGTAATAATATAATATAATAATATGAACATTAGTACACACATTTTATTAAACGCGATAAAATAGTATAATAATGTATTATAGTGTATAATATTTTGTGTTTTATGTTTATATTATATTTCTTTGACCGGTTCCCTTGCAACTATATAATATTATACTTGTGTATGATGACTGATGAGTGATAAGGTCAATGTCGTTACTATATTATATATTATTTCCGTTTAGCTAAAATAATTTTGATTTCTGTAATTTTAGGTTTGCATTTTGTTGTTGAATCTATTAAAAAGTACAAATTAGAAAATTTGTCTGAATCTTTATACATAGGTACTACCTATACATACAGGGTGTAACAGAAATATATGACATATACATAGGTATACTGGAAATATTCCTAAACAGTTCAAAACAAATCAAAATGTTTTGAAAATTTTATCGTGTATAGAAAATGCAAATATAAACTACAAGTGAACATTTCATGTATATACGTTCATTTGTTTTAGAAACACCAAAATCGATTTTGTCATATCTTTCTGTTACACCCTGTATATAATATAGTGGTAAAATTATTATAATATGTCATAAACTCATAATTTTAAACTTATACCTATCATACTATTATATCGTTACATCAACCTAGAAATTTCAATAATACACGTAGAGGTAGAATATATACATTATCATATATATAAAATAAATATCGGAGGATTTCACTTGATGGGCAAGTAATTGCCGACCGTAATGAGTAGACAATTACATATATATTTGACATAATATAAGAACATGAAAGATACTATCATAAATTATTACAACAGTCATTTTTTTTTTTTAATTTAACGATTTTACTTGGGAAGTTATTATTTTGTATTTATGTATTTTTTTTTCTTATTAGCGCTACTATAATAACAAATTAAGTTACATAATAAGTTAGTATTTCTGAAATTGTTCAAATATTATAATAGTATATCGTACCTGCTTACACTCTGTCGGTGTTTTAATTGATTCATACTAGAACATTTGGATCGCATTAAAGCAATGTGCCTAATCAAATATGTAAATACTAAAATACTAAATAATACCTCGTATATTATATAATATTGCTTTATTGAACAACATCATTTTAAGTTTTGAAAGGCACAATCAAATAGTTTTTATTGTACTTGTTAATTGTTCTTCCTATTATTGTATGCCATAGCCTAAAAAAAACAAAGTACCTGCGAAAATCTAACACCTACCTATACCTGTCCTAAATACCTACGTATACCTACCTCATGTGTCTAAACAAATCAGCCACTTTTGCGATCTATGCAACACGACAAACGGTTTTTGGTCTATTGTTATAAGTTAGGTGAGCAAACCGTTAAATAATATAACATGATACCTACCTACAAATACTAATATTTGATTATTGTTTTAATACATTATTAAATTATTTACACAAGCTGATAGTTAAAATATTGAATTAACACGAAAATAGATATGTTTAAATGAGCTATTCATAGAATATTAAAAATTATCAGTACCGATATTTTATCATAAAATTGTTTTTTGTATTACATAAGATAAGTACAGATTTAGAATATTTATAATAATAACATTATAAAAGTCATATTTGTTTTGAAAACTGATGTCAAATGGTTATGGATTATTGAACTTGTTAGATCTGTTTTATTTGTACAGCGAGTATGTGTACTAAACATAATATACCTCAAATATTACATTATTATGCATCACCTTATATAAATTAATTTCTAATTGCGTACATTTAACAATGGTTGAATTTTTTAATTTAAAATTGGTAATGATATTATATAATATAAATGTTGGTAACTGAAGTAAAATTTTTCTATGATTATGATAGTTGCCTGATAAAACTTCGTAACAAAATTGGATATTAACTGTTCATTTTTCTATTAATTGTTATGTTTCTTTTAATCTAGTCAATATTTATATGCATTTAAAATCATCGATTCATACAATTAACAATATGTTTTGAAACTATGTTCGTTCATTGTGGTTATTTTACCATTTTGTCTTATAACTCTTAAGTGTTTTTTAAGCAGAGAACCTCATAAATAAATTAGTTAGTAATTTTAAAAATTAACCTAATACGTATTATACTTTATGGTGACGTATGTATCAAATCTTATACATTATAATATGTTAATATGATAAATTTTATGTATTGTATTTTTAATTATTTTCATACACAATTTGTTCTTACGTAGGTAAGGTTATGTAACATTAGAAAAATTACGAAATATAAAAGTATTATTGAACATTTATTTTATTTAATTAATTTTCATATAATTTCAGTTAGCTATACCTATAGGTACTAAGATATAACATGATAAGTTATAGCGAACAATACTTAATTTGTATTCATGCCTAAAAAACATAAAAAAAAATATAAATAAGTGTTTATATTATGGACTATAGTTATAAATTAATTATATAAATACAACTATAGTAACTGTGTATAATATTAATCGCTTGCAGCATGTTGTTGAAAACTCAGAGAACTTAATTTTAATAAATTTATAAACGAATATTTTTAATTTTTTTGACAAATAATTATTTAATGTATATTTCTTGATAAGACTACATTATGTGCTGTAACTTGTAACATATGATATTCGCATAAAAAGGCAGTTGAAAAACAACTGTAATATCTACTAGGGTATGTACTTTAAATATACAATAATGGCTAGCTAATAAGCTGAAAAACTATAATCATGATTTAATAATTATAACTTTCTAGTGTTTTAAAGTAGTACCACATCTATTATATTATAGCAGTTATACAAAATAACCCACATCTATTATATTATTATAGCAGTTATACAAAAAAAATGTTAACACTATAATATCGTCTTTTTAAATCGTTTTCTTAAAAAAAAAAAAAGGAAGAAGTTTTTGCTTCTTATTGTTTGTTTTATATTTCTAAGGTTCTATTTATAAGTTCTAAGAGTATCTGTCCTATTTAAGATCCCATATGAGTAGCTACTGCTTTAAGTTATAATATGTAATACAATTTTTTGTTTTCCACTATACATATTGTTTGCCTCGATGATTTCTAAAATTACTCAAGATAGACGATAGTACCAAGATAGTAAATTTACTTCTCATAAATCATTAGAATAAACTTCTCAAAGCAAATACTCAATAATTATAATAATTATTGGTGTAATGTGTATCATGATGGATTAGGATTTTCAGACTACACTAAGGACATATTAGGAGACCTCAGTTTTATTTATCAACCTGCTAATTAGAATACAAAACAAATTGTGAATTGAATATTTGTATTTGACTCCTGTATAATGATTAATGAAACGTGGTATTTGGAGGTAAATCATATATTTTTTTTTATTAAGACTGTTGAAATGGATAGAATATATCAAAAACATATGGTATTTGGTCAAATATTATTTTGAACATTTCACGTGTTTTATTGTTTAAGGATATAAATATATAATACATATAAGTACTTAATAGTATATAACGCACCTATAATTGTATAATGCATATATAATTGTACTGCAGTAGCCAGTAGATAATAACTAATAACTGTAGTTGTAATAATATAAACGTATTATAATAGGTAGGTAAAAACCAGCTAAAAAAAAATCTACATCCGTTATGGGTACTCACTATTTGTAGTTTGTAGGCAGATGATACAATTGTATTACCTAAATTAGTTTATATCAATTTTAACGAGGTAGGTACCTGTGCACCTAATTTATGAGTTTATGACAATTTTTAAGAATCGAAAATTGTTTTTGGAAATGAAACTATTTGACTACACGGTTGAATTATTTCTTTGAAAAGTGTACTTCAAACACGGTTAACGTTATCGTAGTACCGTGGTAAAATTTAAGGCACAAAGCGTTACAAATATGTACCACAACTATAAATAAAATTATATATATTATCTTCTGTGTATACATATAAATGTGTGTTGATTATTAAAAATGACAAATGTTGCCAAAACAGTAGGTCAGGAATAATATCGCAGCGAGTACCCATAAGAGCTTAAAACGTAAGAAACGTATAATAGTCGACCTCTCATAATATACAGCGATGGACGAATGATTATGGTAAAACCCGAACGCGGGGTATGCGACAACTTACACGAGGCGCTTTGCTAAATGGAAAGAGAAAATATAGACTCTACAGGTGTGTGTATACACCCACAAGTGGCGTGCTCGAAATTATTATATTATATAGTTGAGAGATGTTCTAAAATGCTTTTAAATTTTTAATATACCTATGTAAAATATATAATATAATATATGTACTATAGATAGTTACATACATCAAGTATAAATGTAATGCATTTTATACATCAATAATATTGTTGGTCATTGTGTATAACAACAAATAAAACAATATAAACCTGCAATTTCGGATGTCGAGTATAAAACTATATGTGAGCCATAACACGATTGCTTCCCTCCCCAATTCATTCCCGGGCACCGATATAGTTACGAAATCGTTGTCCTACTCACAGTTCGGCCACATCCCCATTGCCAGGTGTTCCATAACGTCTTGAAGGAATTTTTCATGACCCTCTGAGTCCCGTGGGGTGCCCACCTGTGGAGGATACCTTGGCACCACCAGGTCTCATCGGCGACGGCTGAGGCTGCGGCTATGTATTGTACACGTATACGCACTGTTAAAAAAATAAAAAAAAAACGGATATCGCGACGAGGCGGGCGGGAGAAGACGAACCGTATCTCTAGGAAAACTCGTCGGGCAAAAAAAAAAAAAACACTAATTATTATATGCGATTCAAACGCAGATCGCGGTCGGAAACTACGCGGTACGCACAAAAATTTGGAAACGAAAAAAAAAAATTCCTTTCCGGATATTATATGGAGACGACTGCAGCGTGAACTCGTTTCTGTCGAATTATTCCGGCATCCGAATCGCGTAATGGTTGTTGAAATCGGTCTTAATAATAATACAGCAGTATTATAGGTATTGTATAATATTATTTTATCACTTTAAAACACACTACTATATTTTTATTGTTTTTTTATTAATATTATTATTATTGTTTATAATAAAATTATCGTGGTAATAATGTGTCTACAGGCCGATGAGAAGCCGACTGTGCCGCGGAGTCGGCGAATGTCGCGTGCCCGAACCGCCGCCGCCGATACGCGCGCGACTCCTACTATTTTTACGTAACTACGCGGACGGCGGCGTGAAATTTTTTTTTTGCACCGCGCGAATTAACGCCGCCCGTCGCGGATCGTGTCCGCTCTAGCGCTGTGGTCCGACCCGCGAACAATATGGTAACAGGTCCATATGACATCATCGCGAGACGCTTTATTGTCGTGATTACAATATAGCGTACAACAGGCGTATTGTGTGTGTGTGACCCAATGGGTCTATACCATACGACTGGCAGGCCTCCTTAACCGTGGTTCGGGCTAGTCGTAGTCGTCGGCTGCCGTCAGAGTGGCGTTATGATTTCGATAAAATTATAGTAGACGAGAATAACTATGCAACGCGGTGATCGTCGAAAGAGTTGCAGGTAAATGTGTGAGACGATCTCGCAAAACGTTTGTCCGCTATGTATGGACGAGGTACGCTCCGCAGCTATATTGTAAAGTAATAATAAAAGCTTGTAATAAAATGTAAAGCTTGTACTGCAATGCTCACGGATTTAAAACCCTTAGATCTTACATAGAATGCTCGTTATACTATATAATTTCTACATCATATACCTACATCAACAGTCGATGAGCTACCTACTTGATCGATAAACATTTTTGCATTTTGGGAGTTGGTGCGTATATTATTTGAAATCTACTTTTCTGCAAATTATGGGTAGGTATAAAATTTGATTTTTGATTGTATTGAAATTTTATTATTATCGTTACAAATTTGCCTTATTAAATCTAACTTTTCAATCAAAGGATTGAGCACAATAGTGTACCTAATATGTTGTTGCATTGATACACTTTTATTATGTTCAATAATAATGCAACTATTTCCTGTCAACCCCTAATCGGTTGGCACTGTTGCGTCCGGCACAATTAGTATTGAAAGTAGGTACCTATTAAAAATTTCAATCAAATTTATGACAAGTTACAGATACATTAGAAATGGGCGAAAAAGTTGAAAACTCTATAAATAATATTCCAAAAAAAACTAGTGAGGTTATTAAAAACAAATGTGACGACGTTATTTAGCGGAAATATTTGACTAAAATTGTCGAAAGACGTTTCTAGAAATAACTCCAACTGGACCATTAGCAGTCAACGATTTTCCAATTCAAAATTATTGATCAGAAATATTGGCCTATTTTAAGTATGGACCAGTGACAAGTGTTGATGTAGAGTGCAGTTTTTCTTCATACTGAATAAGTATAATGTATATAACCTAAAAATTCGTTGGTATAATTTCACAGCAGTAATTATGGAGCAAATTGTGGTAAGTTATAGTTTTCCAATTTAATATTAACATTTGTTTTTAAGTTTATAAACTATTGTACAGTTTTTTTTTTCTCAACAGACATTACTACTTTCTGTATGTGTATGTTACATTTTCTCTTTATATAACTTAATTATACAGGCCATTATAATAATTAAATGTTAGGTAAATAAAAATAATTACATTTTATACTGCATATTTCGTATTTATCCTTGCAAATTTTTACTTTTTAAGTGCATATTTTCTAATTATTAGTGCATGAAAATACAGTCTATATGTATAATTAACCAACTGCAGCTCATTTGAAACTCGATTCATATTAATTTAAATTCTCAGGAAAATATTCTACTTGACGGAATATCAAGTTGAAAATAAAGGCACGATGTTATTCACAAAAGTAAAAAAAAACATAATAAAAATTATAAATTTTTTCAAAAATACTGTTTTGTAATAACCTTAAGGGGCCTGGTCGCGATTTTTCAAATTTTCCGCAATTCTATAAAATTTGAAAATTAAATTTTATATTTTAGTTGCCACCTCAATTATAAGACTTTTCCACTAATCTACTACCCAATACCTATTTAGGGGGGGGTTGATAGGGTGTATTATATCGGTCAAAACACAGTTTACAGGAAAAACTCTCACACCTCGTAGATTGGTCCGATTTCCGTAATTTTTTTTTTGTTAGATAGAAGAATATTTTTTACAGGGCGCATTGGACTTTGATTTTTGATTACGTTGCTAAAAATAAATAATAATACAAAAACTAAAAAGTTGTAAAAATGGATTAAATTCAAACTTGTAATATAAGATTTCGAAAAATAATTTTGAAAATCCAAGTCCAATGCGCCCTGCAATACGTCTTCCTCTATTTAACAAAAAAAAAATTACGGAAATCGGACCAATCTACAAGGCATGAGAGTTTTTCCTGTAAGGCATGTTTTTGAGCAAAAAACCAGGTCGCGACCAGGCCCCTTAAAGTTCACTCTTGAAAGAATCACCCAGCGTATCAGAATATTACTATTGTACTATTGTATAACAACTTATTACAATATAGCTACAAAAATAGATGTAATTATGATATACCTAATGGCTAATTATTATTGAAGAATTTCAAAAAAACGACGCCTTTGAGATTTTGGTTAAACACACATATAATATGAAGTAATTCGTATTTTAAACTATTATATTACTACACATATGTATAATAGGTATGTATGTTTTTGATGGGTGATACCTCTGGATAATCTCCCAGTTCAAGTTACTCATTGTTTTGTAACATTTGTTTTTTTGACACTCATACTTACTTATTGTACTTATTGTCTTTATAGGTTGCAGTTTTTTTTTTTTAAATTATTATAAAATAATATATTATATATTTTTTTATGGGTGCGATTTTGATTATACAATTGTGAAAATCAAAAATTAAATCAAGAAACTACAATATTATCTACAAAGGATTATAGTTTGCCCAGTCGATTAGATTGGTTTTCGGTATGAATGTAATATAATGTACCTACCTATAATAAGATTTAGTTTTGTTGACAATCAATTTATTGTACTGCATTTAATTAATAATGTTATTCCAACTATTTGTACAATAATATTGTACCTAATTATTATTTCACGAGCAATAAGTAAGAGGGACTATTAAGGGTATTTAATATTAATTATTGTTATCACTAATCGAAGTGAAAAATAACACATACCTATCTGTGTACTTTGCTTATAACGTATTCGTTTACGAGTGACGTAGTTGATAAAAAAAACATGACGTTGAACGTCGTTTGGACTCCCGAAATTATGTTATATAATAATATATTATTATACTGATTAATTCCTTTTTTTTTAATATAAAAACATTTACAGGGTTTTTTGTACCGTAATCTCAGCTATAATGACACTAAACTCAAAACATATAATAATAATAATATGACCTGTGTATTTGTGTATCCTGCAATGACGCTATACACGGATTTGAAATTTTTTTTTTGTTTCCTTGTAATGTTTACAATTTACTTCTTATATACAAGATACAACTTGCTATAAATATAGGGATCTTACTTGACCAATTAAAATGTAAAATAATAATAATACGATGCTGTAGTTACATAATGATTGTTACTATTGGACCAATTTCTACCCGGACATTATCCGTGGAGTGGGAAATTTACCGGTTCATTATTATCTGGTGGAGATTGTTCCACCCTTAGAAGATAAACTATTTTATATAGTATGAAATTTATTTGTCTAAAGGAAGGTATAATAAAATACATTTAACATAAGGGCAAAATGTAAAGTGAATTAATGAAAAAGACATTATGATGATGTACATTTCATGTTGGTAAAAACTAAAAAGTAGCATTTTTATGACAAAACATCTAGCCATTTTTTAGTTTTTTATAATCTTAATCGTTTAATTATAAATGTTTCTTTTAAATTATATTTATATTTTATTCGTTAACTTAATTCAATATAAGTATTATTATAATACCATGTTATATTGCGTAAATGAGATATTAAAATGTATACATTTATCGGAATGTTCGATATGTATAGATTCTTCCATCACGTACCTATATATGTGCTATACCTACACGATTACACACTTGCACAAGCTTCAATAATTTATAAATTGTAGTCTATGAATTATGATGCTATTTGACCAAACCAAGTATACCGCACTTTATTATCATTCACACTACTTAGTAATTGCAAATGTTTTAGAATTGTTAACTTTACACGGCGGCTCTGTTCTGAGTACGATGACAAAAAAAAATCGTTCCCCGAACAATGAGGCGGGCCGTAACATACGATTTTACGCTATTATTTAATATTTCAATATTATTATATTTTAACTTGTAAACATTTTCTTTTAGAACTCATGCAGTCATGCAAACAATATTTTTCGGTATTTTTACTTGGCACATTTTTTTTTTATTAGGGGAGAGTTTTATAATTTTTAAGGCCAATTATTGTTTCACTTAAAAAACAATCGCACGGTTTATAGGTACACAGCTTTTCAAATATCAGTTATAACCACAATTGCTTACATTTCTTTTGCATTGACATTTTGCGGTTTTCTACGATTCCTTCAGAACTATTGAGCAATTTGAAGCTA